TTTTCGCGAAAAAAAAATTGAGAATTTGTATTTTTTTTTAAATTTGGAAATTTTATATCCATAATTACTTGAAAATATGGCAACATAGGTAGTAGATTAACTTTACAAGAATGAAAACCCCGAAAAGATCCAGTGGTTCTAAAAATAAATGTTTTTTTTTTAAATTTTGAAAGTAAAATAACTCGGTTATTTTGGACTGAAATGGATTTGAAAAACGGTAAAGAGAAAATATGTTTCTTTTATCGAGACCTAAGTAAGATCTATTATAAGTGATACTAGATTGTTCCAACTATTAGGCATTCCAACTTTGTGTTTTAGCAAACATTTTCTATACCAAAAATTTATATAATGTTGACAAATTTATGGAAAATATTTAAAAAATTAAACAAAAGTTTAACCACTGAGAGCCACTTTTGAGACGCACTCGGTATTATAAAATAAATAAAATAGTTGTATATGCCAAGTACCCCAGTTTATTAATTTTACAAGAAATATTTATACAAATACTAATACATGCAATCAAAATAATTCCCCTTAATAGTATTATTCAAATTTTAGAATTTCGAGGAATCTTTAGATTAAGCAAATTTAATCCAAAAAGGTATATTTTAAAAAGACCGTCTGTATTTTTTGGACATTATGATATTTTTAGAGTAAACATTTTCTAGTGAATCTGCAAGAGAGCAAGAAATATAAAATAATATTAACATACAAAAACACAAATTCAATGTGAAGATAAGTTTGACTCACCCTATAGAATAAGAAATATATTTTTAAAACGTGCTTAATCATTTTCAGCATATTTTGAAATATATCAATCTAAAGCAAACAATTTGTAATACAGCTTTTTCTGTTTTCTGGAGGTCGGCCTTGTATAAATTGTCTTAATGGGTTCTTTACTTATATTAACAACTTATTTAAATAAAAGCAGTAAAGATTATATCAAAATAATAAACACTGTGCTATAGAATAAAGAAGATGTAAGAATAGAAATCATATTTCACCTTTACTACGATTATAACTTTACCGCGAATATCTGCGAAACCGTTAAAAATTTTAAAATACTTTAAATACAAAAATTGTTAATTCTCCACCTAACAAAAACAATAATATATTGGGTGTTTTATTTAAAAAAAAAACGAGTTTAACAAACTTATTTTATAGTTTAGGAAGTTTGGTATGGAACTTTGAATACTGTTTGATTTAAAATTACGATATTTATAATAAAGTAAGTACAGACCAACTAAAATAAGTACCTAGCATAGTTTTGATTTCAGGACTCTTATATTTTTAATATTTTTTAAGGCTGAAAATGCATTTTTTCTTTTATTTATTTATATCTCTGAAATTATAAAAACGAATTTAATAATATCTTAGGACTATATAAAGTGATCAGAGAGGAAGCCAAAAATACAATGATACACAGGTTGTTCCATTTAAAAAAATCACCCAGATACACTCGCACTTTTATTGAGCCGCCCTGTGGAAGTTAACATATTTTCCTGAAATACATCCTGGTACATACTTTAGGTTTGCACTTAAACAAAATTCCCAAGTTCTTTATTCTAGTAGCTACAATATGCCTGACGAACTCTAGCCGGGCCCTATAGATTTAGTAAGCTCGTAATAAAGTGTCACTTTAATGTTCACATGTTCACTGTAGCGCTGTTATTATAACACAGTGTCTGTCCATTATAAATACTACAGATTATCCATTATTTCTTCAATTTTTGTTTGCTAAAAATTAACCAAATAAGCTATTTTTATAGCTTTAAAATACCGTTAATTCATTTTAGGTGTTTTGGTCCCTTTAATTAAAACATTTTACACAACATTACTTTCTGTAGCGGATATCCATTAAAATCTTTTTTGTTTCCTCCAGCACGTGTAATTATTCAACTAAATTTGGCCTTCATTCATAGAACTTGCTAATGCGTAAAAAATGTAGAACATCGGCTTTACGTAACAACATTTCCATACAGCCGTCTCGGACAACAAAAAAACTTGCACATGCTAGACATATCGAGTGATTGCTTTAAGAATATACAGTGAGGGCTAAAATGTTACCAACAGATGAAATATTTGCTTTATGATTTATCCATAATGGACAATTATCATCTTGATGATTCGATTGGATTGCAAAAAATAACTATAGGGATAACTTTAAAGTAATAATTTAATAAGATTTTCAAATTTATTTATTTAAATAAAGTAATGTATATTTATTCATATCTTGACGTAATTTTTAAAGAGATTTAAGGAATACCAAGTTGTTTAGGGTTGTATCTGTATACGAGTATCTGATTTCTTTGTGTTCTTATCTCTGGTTTGTATTTTTGCTTTTAAGGAAGTAAATGCCATCTGAAAATGTGACTTGATCCTTTTTGTAACCCCGATCCCTTTATACGCCATTAACTATATACGGTTCCATTGTGCTGTTATGAATTTTTGATATTAAGAATACAATGTGTTTTTTAGGTTTTCTGGCAAATATTGACAACTTCTCCACGTGTGTGATCTTATGTTATTTCAAATTACATTCCGCTTAACACTTTTTGGTTGGGGTGTACTTTTTAGAACGCTTTTAGAGTCTTTAAGACCGATGCGTGCCGAAGTCAATTTTCTATTAATGAGCTACTGACGATTCCAATATCAGTCATCAGTTAAAAGAACCACGTTCAAAAAAATGGAATTGCCCTATTATTTTTGAAAAGTGTAGCTTGGTTATTTATTCCAATAAGACGTCCGCCGGGGGCGTTGTGATTTTGAATTTAACGCAGGACGAATTCAGCAATTCAAATTTGCAAAGTAATATTTTGCTAGATGATGGGAATTCAGATATAGAGGAATACGAAGTCAAGCTAGCAAAATTGTTAAAAAAGCGGCTAGACAACTTACTACAGCTCGTACTAATATAAAAGGTAAAAAAATATCTTGATGTACATTAGAGAATGTACATTAATGTTGCTCTCTTTTTAGAGCAACTAAACGTTGCTCTCTTTTTTTAGAATCTAATAAAGAAGGGATCTAATAAAGGTAGATCATTTCCAGAATATTACAAAAACCATTCGTCACTAGATAAAATTTACCGGGAAACCCTTGTATTTAATATTTTTATTTTGGAAGACATTAAATACAGTTGTATTTACCTACTTATCGCCAAAAGATTAATTCTGAAATGAAGTTATTTTCCTGATAAATGTTATATTCATTTCATTTAAATTATTAGTACTGATCCTATTCGATTAAAGTCGACTCAAGCTTTAAACAAAGTGACATATTAATATAAATCATTAAGCATTGCACTTCAATATGTAAAGAGAAAGGCTTGAAATAAAAGGAATGTATTTGAAAAACAAAAGGAAAACACTAATAAAAAAATAAATATTTCTTTAAAACCTATAGGCAGCATTTTTATTCTAAATCTAATATACCACTAACAATGACTGTGATCATGTATGTTTTATATGTATATGCTTGCAGTATATGAATAAAATGAATAGTTTGGTTTGGTTTGTTTTATTAATTTAATTATCATTAATGAGGCCAAAATATGTTTGATTTTATTTGATTCATTCTTCTTCTTCTTAAAGTGCCTTCTACATTCAGTGAAGATCGGCAACAACCATGGCAAATTCCTCTCTATTTTTCGCTCTTCTCAGCAAAGTATGTGAGTCCAGGCCTGTCCAATCTCTGATGTTCTTCAGCCAGGAGCATTGCCGTCGTCCGGGTCCGCGCTTTCCCTCAATTTTATCCTCGATGATGAGCTGAAGGAATTCATACTTGCTATGTCTCATGATATGGCCCAAATAGGCTGCTTTCCTCTTTTTTATTATGTCGAGGAGTTCTCGGTTCTTGTTCATTTGGTTTAGAACTCGTTCATTCGAGATACGGTCAGTCCATGGTATTCTCAGCATTCTGCGATATACCCACATCTCAAATGCTTCCAACTTATTCATTGCGCTTACTTTGAGTGTCCACGACTCAACCCCGTAGAGAAGTGTGGAAAGTACGTAGCACTTGACGAAGTTGTCTTTTATATGGATGTTGAGACGTTTATCGCACACTAGGTTCCGCAATTTTAGGAAGTTTGATCTAACCATCTCAATTCGAGCTCTGATCTCAATGTCTGGGTTTAGGTCTTCACTAATCCAACTGCCCAAATATCTAAACTTTGAGACTCTTGCTATTCTTGTCCCACCTACAACTACCTCCGTTGCCTGTCTTGCATCTCTATTTATCACCATTTGATTCATTAGCATTTTTTTTTTATTTTACAACGTTTTTTCTCTGAATGTAAGAATTAAAGTTGATATACAGGGTGTCCCAGAAATAAGTCCAAGTATTTTAAGGGGTTGTAGATCTCGATAAAAGAAACATATTTTCTCTTTATCGTTTGTCAAATAAGTCCAAAACAACAGAGTTATTTTATTTTGAAAAGTTCCAAAAAAAATGATTTTTTGCTAAAATTTTGAGAACCACTGGATCTTTTCTGGATTTTCTTTCTTGTAAATTTAATCTAATATCTATGTTGCCATATGATTAAGAAATTACGGTTTTTATCTAAAAACTAAAAAAAATCCAAAAATTTTTTCAAAAAATTACGAATCTTCAAGTTTTTTTTTCGCGAAAAAAAAACCATAGGCGTGTTTCTGGGGTTGAACTATACTACCGGTTAAAATACTTTATTACACACTTATTTCTGGGACACCCTGCATAGATATAGAGTTAGCTAGTTTGGTTTCAAAAATCATGAGAATAGGGCTAAAAATACAAAAAAATAACACTTTAAATTTGTCGAAAAATTTCTCCGTTGCATTTTATTTTGCATCTGATTGTATTAACTACTTCAGGATTTAAATTTTAATTATTTTAAATCATCATGTAAAAGAGTCAAATTTCAACGGTCGGACAGTTTTGTTTATCCGCGTCCTCAATGTCATCCTTCTCCGAACGTATTTCACCAAACACAAACAGTCGCGGTTTTCAGTACCGAATGGACGTTTAATTAAACCTGAGGCCATATCACGTCACGCTGCTCGATTTCTTAAGGCGTATCTGTAGCGGTCATCAAATATTTACTTCCCGTGGATGCGGATTTCGGGCCGGGCTCGCCGTTTTTCCTTGTCTCGTTCAATATTTACCGGAGATGTCCGCAAGATTTCGTTCTCAGTTTCGTTTCGATCAAACATGACAGAACACACGTTCCTTGTATTACTTCTTTTCTCTGTATTCTGCCAAATTAACTGTATCCAAGAAAAAACCTCGTCGTGCGGAAAGATTTTTCTCGAAGAAGAATTCGAAATATCCAGCGATAACTACCCTGATCCATATCCGCCAGATTCCGAATGTTTTTACCTGTTAAAAGGCAACAATTGCACCGCCAACTTCGCGATCAGGTTTCTGGACTTCGACCTTAAAGACAGTAAGGGTTGTACGGAGGAAAGGTTGGAAATAGGACACCAGGCTGCGCTGTGCGGCGCGCGGAATGGATCCAAGTCGTATATTGCCGAAGAGAACGCTTTGAGGCTCAAGTTTATATCGGATAAACAGCCTGGAAATAAAGGGTTTAAGTTGCTAATTAAGAGGATCGACTCGTGCGCTGAAAATGTCACTGAAACAGAGAAGCGGGATAGGTAAGTTTTCAAAGTTTTTACGCAAAGACTTTTCAAATTGGTATAAGGGTAGATATATGTTTATTATAAATATTTTTGTTTTCAGTTTCTCCTCATTTTGGGAACATTGAATATTTCTCAAAATAGTCACATTGTAATGTCACAGAAACTGTACCAAATATTTTGATATTCATAATTTTGTTATACACTCACCGGCACGAAAAACGGGCACCTTAAAATTTTAATGTATTGTAAAGTTTGATATATTTTGTTCTAGTTGGGCCGATTTTGATAATTTTTTAATCAATTTGTAGATATATTATTTGACTTTTTAGAATCTCTTCCTAAATTGAAAATTAAAGTTCACATCTGTCAATAATACGAGGAAAAACAAAATGTTTGGTGAAAGTTTAAAACGCCCTGTGGTATATGTTAACAAAGCAAGGAATTTGAAAATCATTTTATCATCTAGGTACATCTTTTCTCGATAGTTTGTTTTTTAATTCGTCTTAAAAGCTTTATTTTTGTTGGAGATATTCGCATTGTAATAAGACAGTAACGATTTACAGCAATTTTGCCATTGATTTTGGGTCCTCATCAACACACTTATAAAATAGTGTTTATTGTTTTTGTAATATTACTGTCATTGAAAAGTCATATTATTATTGCTTATTGACGTTTACTCTAGTAAAGATGGTTTTAAGTTGTGAAGTATCGGCCATTGCTTCTTTAATTGATCATGGTAGAGATCAACTTTTGGACTTAAAACAATATCTACTAGAGTAATTGCCCAACAGACAATAATACTTTTCAAAGACAGCGGCATAATGCAAACCATAAACACTATTTTATAGGTCTGTTGACTAAAACCAAACGCATGATTTTAATGTAAAAAATACGAAAAAATTTCAGTTTTTTCTTCAAAAGCGGATATATAAAAAAAAATAAAGCTATTCAGATGGACCAAAAAACAAATTATCGAGAACAGATACACCTAGATGATAAAATATTTTAAATTCCTTCCTTTGTTAATGTACTCCACAGGGTGTTCCAGACTTCTTTTTAAAAAACATGAACATTTTAAGTTGCCAACTACAACTTCTTTGTGGAAACAGTTTTTTTTTATTTCCTTTAGCATATGTTGTCGGCTCATCAGTGAGAATATTTCAAAAACCATTTAATATTAAAAGATTTAAATCTGAATTGCTGATTATAAAGAAGTATCTGCAAACATAATATTTTTTAATATCTGTATTGCATTAAGTCTCTATTAATTATGGAGTCATAATATATTGAATGTTTATTAAAAAACAAAACAGCAATTCTTTTTTAAAATATTGCATATTTAAATATCAGCAACTGATTCATGGATACAGTATATTGGGCTTCAACATTATATTTTTTCAGTTGAAAAATAATGTAGGTAAGCTAGTTCTGTAGTTTACCATGTTGCGATCAATAGGAAAGTAATAGACTAAGTAGTTAAAATCCAGTAATTTTAGTTTACTGTTACTAGAAAATTTTTAGTTACTATAATTCTTTCAATTTACATTTTATTGATAAATTTTTAGTAAAATCGATTTATTAAATTCGTATTTTTTAAGAATCAAACGTTATTACTTAAATTTAAGGTAAATAAATAGTTTTTTTAACAAGTGGCTGTATAATAAGTAAGTAAATAACATAATCAATTAATCCCCGATGATTTTTTCTGCCCACTTTGCAAGATAAACTATTAAACTAAATATAATGTCACCTTCCTGTGTAAATTGTCTTTACTTAACACGTAATCTGTAAATATTTAAACTTTCCAAAAGTTCAGATAATAATTTTACAAAGGCATAACCAAGGTCATGGTTTCTTTGGTTACTAGAAATTAAATATTAATTAACTTAAAAGTTAAAAAATATTTGAAATATTGATTGTTTCCGTATTTCCATCCCTCTTAGTGCCGTAACCGTAGTAATATCAGAGATTAAGAAATTATAACGTGAGAATTTGCACTTAGAACAGACAGTTCTAAAAAGTTTTCGAAACTATACAGGAAAAATTAAAAGAAAATGCACGATTTTTAAGATCTTTTTGCGAAAAAAAAAACTCGCAGACTAAAAATATTCGAATTTATTTATATATATAAGACTCACCCTATATAAATTAGTGACCAAATTTATTTTTTCTGTTAACTTATTATGTTTTATATCACAGTTTTCTTAATATTTAAATTAACAATTTTGAACAACTTGCACACTGCAAAATGCTACGTATAGCTTGACAAAAATCCAGATTATTGATGTTTATCCACACATTGTTTTTCTTATTACGTTTCTAGGATTAATTTTAAATATTATAAAATTTTCCATTCAACTAGAGTAGTGCAAGCGTTACCCAAAATTGATGCAGTTCGCACTTTTCGTGAAGCGCAAAAGAGTGTCATTTACACCCAGCACAGCCATTTTAATTTTTTTCTACTGTTAATAATATATGAAAAAAAACTTAGAAATTCATAATTTAGAATATATGTCTTCTTCAAACTGAAAAAAATATTTCTTGATATTACAGTATTCGTATACCTGCTATTAAAGGGCTATTTCAAAGGAAGGGCAGATTTGGGAAAGCTATTTTTTTTATGTAGAATGTAGAATGTTTAGGAGGGGAGTTAATCACCGCGACCTTACAGATCTATTGTGCGTTCCCCTTTCTTGAGTTATAACGAGTTAGAACTCATCATACAGTCTCAGGGCTTTAAGAAAAGGCAGTATCTGACACGGCTCCACAGAGGCCAGCTCTCCATCCTCGACATCAGCCGTACCAAAGTTCATGGCATGTCATCTTGGCGCACTCAGTGATAAGGTGTTCTGGTGTTTCCCCATTTTCCCCACAGAATCTGTAATCGCCGTTGTTTCTCAGCTTCAGCCTACTGAGGTGTTCGTTGAGGAGACAGTGTCCTGTTAGAAACCCCGTGACAATCCGAAGATTGTTTTTACTTAAATCAAGGAAAACCTTTGATTTTTCTCGGTCGTGAACTCTGAGGAACGGTTTCGAGTCATAGACCGTTGGAGGACACCTATTCCAAGTTACGGATGGAATCTTCCAGATTCTTCAGTTCCGCTTTCAGTTGGTTCCCATTTGGATCAGTTGGTTCCCGTTTGGATTAATAATTGGGTAATTTTTTTATACCTGTATCAACATACATTAGAGATTTTAATTTTAATAAATTAAAAGCGGAACTCCGTGGAACTCATTACTATAACTCATTACGAAAACAAAATTATAAAAAATAATAAACCCAGAATAGTGTGTTTAAAATATATTTTATCGACATTCAAAACAGTTAAAATTTATTATACTGATGATTATTTAATTGTACTACATGTCAGTAGCTATATTGTCCATAATGATAATTAATTTTCAAATGGTTGTGCTGGGTGTAAATAACACTCTTTTTCGCTCCACGAAGGTGCAAGCCTAACGCTCTTACCAGAAAGTGCGGACTCCATCAAATTTCCGTAGCGCTTGTACTATTATAGTTACTCGGAAAAAATTATAACATTTAAAATTAGTTCCACAGATTTTCTAAGAACGACAGTGAGTAGATGAACATACGAAAAAAAATATTTGTGATTTCGGTTTTTGTCAAGCTAAACATAGCATTTTTCCGTGTGTGAAACTATCAGTAAGTTTAAATATCTATTTGATAGGTCTGACATCGATCCCACGACAGAATCAGTGGAAGAAAACCCAAGAAACGCTGTAACCTTTCCACAACCAACCTATCTGCCCCCGCCGCCCGAAACCTGTTGCGAAAACAACGTATTTTCCGCCAAGAAAATATTCCTGCTAAGTCCCGGTTTTCCTTATTCGATCAGTAAGCCGCACGATTGCATCTACGTAATCGAAAAAGTCAACAACAACGTTTGCAGGCTGAGGATCGACGTCCATTTCTTCTCATTAGGACGACCGACACAAAACTCCTGCTCGGACGGCTATATTGAAATCGATGGAAAGTTTATATGCGGCTGTAACAGGGAGGTGAAGCTGATCGCTAATTTTCGAGAGGAAAAGAAGAAGTTTATCCGGTTCTTTAATACGGAAACGGTTACCGGTGAGATGACTGGGTTTGTTTTGGAAATAGCGCAGGATGAATGTCCTAAAAGATATACGCCTGAAGAAGCGCCGATTTCTGAGAAAGTCGCTAAAAAATTTAGGTACGTATTTCAAATTTGAAAACAAGTACATAGTGCTTTAAGTGCTGCGTATAAATAAAATTACCAAACTAACACATACAAAATGCAGTATTTTTAGTATTTGAAGCACCCTAGAAAAATAAAGAATTTAAAATGGTTACTGTATTTTCACAAAAACGTAAATATTTCAAAAACAGTACGAAAAGTGAGGTAAACCTTAATCAAATTTACCTTTATTTTAATCTTAGAAACTAAAAATGTAAAATATATACCGGGTGTTCCTTTAAAAAATATAACTTTGATATTTTATTTATTTGGGACGCTGTACCATTTGATAATAATTTTAAATTGTAGCTCTTTAGTCCTCCAATGAATGCATCACTCACAACTTTTAAAAATCTAATCGTGTGCTTACAATACCCCGTATCGAATGAGGTGAATAGCCTGTATAGGTGAATACCCTATATCCTTAAGCTTGTATAACTATTTTTCTGTCGTCATTATGTGTAGTCGAACAATATGTATATCGTACACCTTCTTGATTGTATAGTACTAATATAAACATTACTTATGATTCTTATTTTTAGGTTCTATAATGATCAATATAACAGAGTATCTTGGCCGGACCAATCCAACATAAATCAACTTAAATTAGTTAATGAACGAGTGGACCGAATAAATTCAGATAAAAATCAAGATGACATCTACAGATATGTGTATTTTTTTGCTCCAGAAGAGGAAAATATTTCGGTTAATCAAGTTCAGGACAAGGAAGAAACGAATTATATCGAAATATCCTCTATTAATACCTTATTGACTGATTTCTATAATTACCAGCAGTGTTTGACATGGAATAAAAATCAGCTAAACATATTGATGCGAAGATTTGGAAATGCTTTATACAATATGTGTACGATTCGTACAAGTAGCTCTAATGAACATAGTAAATGTACAGTACTTAATTCTTTGTCTGGTTACATTAATAGTCCTGGATATCCGCTGAGTTATTTTGGAAACCAAAATTTATGTTACAGGTAGGTAAATGTTTAAGATATTATGAAAAGTCTAGATATATACATTTTTATTCTTTGTTAATGACTATAAATATTAGACAATATTATCATAGCACATCATATATTTAAAATTTCCGATACAGGGTGAGTTTTCTACGATGTGGTCTATGGGTATCTCGGAAACTAATGGAGCTAGAGAATCGGTCAAATTAGAAAAAAATTGCAGTTTTGTGAGATCAAACTGGAATATGCGCCTTTCGGATTTTTGAAAAAGTTTCATGGCCAACTATGGTTTTCATTTAAAAAAACATATGTTTGTGTCATATGTCATAAAAGACAGGCTTTAGAAAGAAAACGGAGAACACAGTCTCATTAAGGATGTGATTATATATAACTTTTATCTGAAAACAGATAGCCGAACTTGTTTTTTCGAAGTATCTAGTAAGTCATAATCTTCTTCAAAACTCCGAAAGGCGCATATGTTTGTCCTCACAAAACTGCAACTCCTTGCCCATTTGAGCAGCTCTCTAGCTTCAGTAGTTTACGAGATGTTCATAAAGAACATATTAGAAAACATTTTGTATAAGTGATAGTCGCCACAAGTATTTTTCAGTAGAATCGTCATAAATAGATTTTCTGTATAAGGTTCAATACCTAAATATGACTGTTATGTATTATTTAGATCATAACAAGCTATGCTATCCGATAACAAAAAATGCAGTACTGAAGTGATATCACGTACAGGCTAAAATGATAAAAAATTAAAAGTAGTAAATTATTCACATGCCTAAGGAAATGGCATAAGAAAATGGTCACATATTATCGAAAAAAGAAAGTGAAGTCCGCTTGGTGATAATGATCGATAACATTCATTATTAAAATTTTACATATAAAACCGCGCTCTTCATTTTCAAGCCAACTCTAATATGCTATTGTTTTTGTATATTTAATTAAAAAATACTTTATAACATTTATTGACATTAAATTTATTGTTCATCATATTTTATGTTAAAACTAAATGTCAAAAAAATTATATAGTACGACCTTTATTAAAAAACATAATAATAATGTATATTATACGTAATATATATTTAAAAAACATACTGTTCATTAATCAAATTGAAAATTTCTTAAAAAAAAAGAGAAAACCCAGGAATTAAACATTATATATACAAAATATATTTAGAATTTCATTTTCAATGTATTCAAATTCAAAAAATTGAGGTTGTATTTAAATATGAAAAATTGGACATCCTCTTGAAACAAATAAAAATAACCTTACCATAAAGCATTTGTATTTCATTTTATATTAGATATCTAAATATTCTTTATGAAGAGTTTGTGGGGGCAAAAACTCTGTATGGTCACTAATTATTTACAAAAACATTATTTCATTACTAGTTTTTAATTATTTACTACGTACATATTTTACAACAGATTTACTTTGACGTCTAAACTGGCGATCGACCGATATGAACTTTGTGGTCAATGTCGATAATCGGCTGACACCGATATGAACATGGCCGCAGTGTCGGTGGATTATCAGCCATCGAATGTAATTACATTATTTTATGGTGGAAATGGGATCATGTAGTAATTATTTATGAAGCAGGCAGCCACTCTAGTAGATCCTCTTTATACGTATACCAAAATAACAAGATTTAATATTTGTAAATTAATAAAAAAAATTCTTCGGGTTAGTCTTAAATAAGTGCGAATATTTTCAGGGTTGATAGATCCCGATAACATATTTTACTTTGAAAATAAAAAAAAATGTTGGTAGAATTTTGAGAACCACTGGATCTATTCTGGGTTTTCTTTCTTGTAAATTTAGTTTACTATCGATGTTGTCATATTATCAAGATATGTTGTTAACTTAAAATTAAAAAAAATTAAAAAATTTTGTTAAAAAAATTCCAAATTTTTAAAGTTTTTTTTGTGAAAGTACTAGTCGAAATATTCCACTGCTAAAAATATTTGCACTTATTTTCAGGGTTGGTAGATCTTAAGAAAAGTAATATATAATTTTCTCTTTGCCGCTTCTTCAAATAAGTTCAAAATAACCGAGTGAGCTTACTTTGAAAATTTGAAAGGAAAGTTTTTGTTTAAATTTTGTTATTTTGGTTTCCTTTCTTGTAAATTTAATCTACTACCTATGTTGTCATATTATGAAGAAATTATGTTTTTTTTTGTGGTCAAAATATCCAGCGAAATATATACCTTTAAAACTATTGGCACTTATTTAAGACTCACCCTGTATTTATCAAAAAGCGGTCGATAATGTAGAATTTGTAATATAAGACCACAAAATTGTACTAGTTTTAATTACCTAATGTTTTAAAATATAACATAGTAACATTTTGGATGGCCAATAATCATAGAAATAGTTATGACTAGGTCGGTATGTGATTTTTGACACAACTTGCAATATGCACTATCGTGTAAAATTACAGGGTTATTTTTGAAGGTTTGATTAACTTTGAAATATTTATGTGCATTTTAAAAATTGCAAACAATATTTTAGCTACTTCTGTTACCTACATACTCCGATTTTTCTGAAACTTTGTATACTTGGGACAATATAAAATTATAATAATTTCAACCATTACTTTTAAAATTTTGATTTGGATATAATTTGAGGTTATTTATTGTCATATTCGGATATTTATCCATGGGAGCTACAATAGTGTATTTTTACTTTTAATTCAATCCTCTATAACCCTGGCTAGGGCCTGAATTTCAACTTTATACTTTTAATTATCTACTAAAATTATTTTCTTAAAATTATGATTTTTCCATTACTCTAGACTTTGGCACAGGGTTTATATTGACTGGCATTGATAGTTCTTACTCGCCCAAGTACTAGACCTTTAGATTATTTAAATTATAATAAAATTATCACTGTTTTATTTATAAATAATTCCTGTAAAAACCATTATTAATAGATTATTAATATATTAATTTAATCTATTATTTTTTTAGATTTTATTTTTCACCCGGCTATTGTACTTTAAATTTAGTCTTCAATGACTTTGAAGTTGAAAGCAGTTACGATTGTCAAAAGGACTATCTGACTATAGAGAACAATCGATACTGTGGCGACTACCTTAAAAGGAAAACAGGTAATAATATAATAATTAATTAATTTATAGAAAATAAAATTATTTCATCACCTGAGTATGTTAACTATTACAATAATACCTATTTAGTGTAGTATATATTTATTTATTCGGGTAAGTATATCTACTATTTAATTGACTCTTATTAATATATGTTTATTAAGTATGCTTCCGAATGAAACATTTTTTATTTAGTTTCATATATTTTTGTGTTTTAATATTATACCGGGTGCGTCTTAAAAGTGGCTCACCGCTATAACTTTTTTATTTCTCTAGATAAAAAAAACAAGATTTGATATGTTATTATATGACATAAATTAGGATTGATTGACGTATTCAATTATTTCTGGTCACTACCTGTTTCACTGAAAATGACAACAACTTGTGATTTTCAAATGGCATTCTCGGTATTTTTTTACTTAATTCGATAGAAAATGACACTCTGAGAAGAATGACATATAATATGGCAACTTTTGGCATTTTCTCTTATGGTTTATTTGAAATTGTAAATTTTGACGCCAAATACCAAGTGTATGGTACCAAATTATTCGTAAAAAATGCTTTTTCAAAATATGCTAATGAGCCACCTTCGTTCCATTTGAAAAAATAGAGATATGATTAAAAATACGATTTGGACATTTTTTAACCGGCCAGGGCAAAACACGAAAAACAGCAATGACACTCTAAATTGAAATTTAAAATACGATTTTTTTTTAAAACGAAAATGTCAAAAGTTGACATGTGATATGTCATTTTATTCAGAGTGACATTTTCTATCGAATAAAGTAAAAAAATACCGAGAGTGCCATTTAAAAATCAAAAGATGTAATCAGTTCCGGTGAAACAGGAAGTAACCAAAATCAATTGAATACGTCAATCGAATCCTCATTTATGTCATAGACTAACATACCAAATCTTGTTTTTTATCTGAAAATTAAAAAAGATGAGCCACACCCAAAAGAACCATATGAAAATTAATTTTGGTAAAGATAAAAAGCTATTTTCATAAAAGTTTTATGGCTTGTAGATGACCTCAATCCGTCAACATTTAACTTTATAACCTATCTTTGACCCGATGTTACAGTGACAATATCCGCACGAGGCAGGCCCTATCAGGACATAACTTTCACCAGCGACAGCAATTATTGCGGTAAAGGATTCTCGGCTCAATATCAACAGGTCTCCTGCCATCAGAGCGGACAGGATGTGGGATGTCGGCCCCCGACGGGGGGTCCAGACGCACGAACGGGCGCGAATTGTGGCCGGGTTATACGGGAGAATACCTTTGTTATTGGGAATATTCCCAGAGGCAGGAATTGTTACTACGAAGTGAGGAAATTTAGTCAGGTAAGAAAAATATTTTGTCAATGACTTTTTGAGTAAGGTTAGAAATTCAGTTAGTAAATGTAAAGTATTTCAAGTTAACATCTCCTTTTGCTGCTTAGTTTACGCGGAATCCGCACTACGGTCCTCGGCTATATCATTGGCAGTGACCTACCGCCTTGGCGAATGTCTAAATCGACTCTTACGAGATATCCGATCACATCCGTGTGCAGTGGCGTAGCTAGCATTGAAAGGGCCCTGTATCACGAATTTCGCAGGGGGCCCCTGAGACAGAACCATGAGGGGGGGGGGGGTGAATAAAATAAAAAAACTTACAGTCTCATCAGAATAGCTTATTATTTATTAATAACTTTTACTTACAGGAATAAAGTAAACATTCTTTCCAACAATAAACATAAATATCAAAACAAGGAACGTCTTTGATAAAATTATACCTACAGAAATAAAATAAATATTCGTTCCAACAACCAACAACAAACAAACATAAAAATAAAAACAAGAAAATATTATGAAACTAAAATCAAGAAGGTTAACAATAAGTATTAGGTATATAACAATTTTATTTTTTATTTTTGGCAACCGTTTGATGTATACGGGGACAAAAGCTGTAGTTGGGGACTCTGGCTGTAGTTGATACGGGGTTTCATTAAAGTATGGGCAAAGTTTGCATAATTACGAAAAATTTTAATGCTAACGTCATATTTTGATTTTTTTACTGCTCGGTGGGCCCCTCAGGTTAGTGGGCCCTGTATCATTGATACAGCTGATACAGCGGTTGCTACGCCACTGTCCGTGTGTCAATTTTGCCATGGAACAACAGCACGGCACAGATCCTAGACGGTTACCCGTCCATTCACCCGCATCCTTTAACATCGCTTAACTTCGGTGATCTATTGGGAATCAGTGTTTCGACGTAGCTGGGTCGTTGCTGTTTAATACTAATTAAACTTTTAGTTACGTAATCGAGGGCGCGATTTTTAAATTCATTGTTGCCAACCATGGAAATATTCGGCGCATGGCTGACTAACTGGAATTTACATTTACCGCTGGAGATTCAGGTGGTAGCTCTGCTGTAAAAAAATGCCAAGTTGCCACATTAATTTATTTCCTGACACTGTCATTCGTTTTGGCATTTTAGTTTTTTTGTATTACGCGTTTTTGGTCTAAATGAATTATGTTGTGATACTTTATGCTTAATAATTTTTACTAGCAGACCTTGCAGTCGAACATTGTTCTTTTAGAAACCCTTTTAGTGCGAAGTGGTACAAGATAGCTTAATAGCCGTAAAAAACTCATCGCAACTTTATTAGAATATTTTGAACGGGAAAGCGGTAGTAATGACCTTTTATGTCCCTATTTTGTTGATGTAAAAACTGTTTATTATTTACTAATTTACTTTTGTTTCCTAAAATATTTTGATTAAAAGAAAATATGTAAAAGTGCCGGTCAAGCTTAATCACGTGACTAAAAGTTTATTTTATATGAACTATACGTCCCTCCTACCAGTTTAATTATTTTATAATAATTATATAATATGCCTGCTCCCTACTAATACATTTTTGGCCAAAATAAGCTTAAACTCTTTTTAAATTGTAAACATTACCCTTTATTTTACCTCTCAAAAATTCTGATCATTATACAGGTAAAATAAATGCTATATATTTACTGTTAAAAATTTCACGTCTTGTGGAGAAAATTAGCAGTAAAATCTCCAAGTTGAAATAATTCAATAAATTAAATAACTAATAAATTCAATTTATAACCAATAACTAATGAGCTTGTACGATCTTGATCATTCTTCTCTTTCTCTTTTAAAGACAGCTGTGCCTTTAGCAACATGAACCATCTATTTCACTTCAATGCTTGTTCTTTTTGTTCCACCCGATTCCTTTTCTTCCTCTACTCTACTCTTCATTATTATCTGTAATAGGGAATACTTATTATGACGTAATACATCACCAAGGTATGTTGTCTGGCGTGTTTTGATTGTTTTCAGAAGTTTTTGTTGACGACTAATTCTCAGTATTTCTCTGTTGGTAATTCGCACTGTCCATTGTTCTTTCTGCATGCGTCTGTACATCCATAGTTCAAAGGCTTCGTTTTTTTATTACTTATGCATTCATATATACAGTGATAAGAGATTATATTCCAGAATTCCCAATTTGAGTGGTAGATTTAGGTTTGTATTACAAAATATGGGGATTTAAATTTCAGGAATCTTTCCATTTCTATTCTCATACGAATCTCCTGATCTTGATCCAAGTTTGAAGTAATATGGTACTCTTAAATTTAATTGAATCTAAAAAACTTTTACGTTCAATAAAATCTGAAAAAAAAACTATAAAATCTAATTTACTTACAAACACAGCTTACTTAGTAACAGCTGGTTTTCTTCGAGTATACACTTTTAAAAGTCGGTTTCACAGGTTGGTTTTGAATAGATGTGCTTATAAATAATAATAATAATTTTAACAAACCCTGTGCACTGAGATTTTGGCTCAAAACTTAAATTGTTTTCAATTTTTTATATAAGAAATTTATATTTCTTATATTAATTTCCTAATCAAATACCAAATTTACCCAAAATATCTCTGAATAGAATTTTATATTTTAGTACGTGATTTCTTAGCTTAAAAATAAGAAAAGCAGTTTAGATTGAACATAGACTGGGAAAGCATCCTGAGGGAGCTAGAGCGTGATTATTGACATCCATAAAATCGATTTTTCTAGAAGTTTTCAACGCCAATCAAGCTTCATAGATAAGACTATCCAGAAGAATATACCAGTGGGGATTTTTATTTACTACTTTATTTTTGACGTTAAGTTCAAAAATTTCTCAAAAAAATATATTGTCTTATTTCAAACACGAGGTTTTGTAAGAAGCAAATAGTTAATTATATATAGACATTATTAAGCAGTTTATTATTAAACGTCCAATATGTCTGTTCCAGCAAGGATATTATTACACAGACAAGTTAATATTTTGATAATGTGCTGTGGATATTGACAGCTTTCAAATGCATAAACGTCAAGTTAATTAAGAAACATCACATCCACTATTATATTAGAATATCTTAACTGGGAATGGAATATCATTATTTTATACAGTGTCAAGGTAAAGTTCCAATCATAATATGGTTTTTATTAATAGATTTCTTTAAATTTTGACTCTGGCGTTAGTTTTTGCTTTAAAAGTTAAATTTAAACAAACGTCTATAAAATCAGTTTATTGAAAAAATGTTAAAAAAGTTTATTTGAAAAAGTGGGTCTGGTGAACTATCCAGACACACAATTTTTTCATTTTCTTTTTTTATCACAAAGTAAAATCAAAAGTAAAACAATTTCAGTAAAAAAAAATTAAATAAAAAAATGCGGATTATGCACCTAATTTCGAAATATTTTAATTTAATTTTGTTATTATTTGACACCTATTCGACGTTAGTAACAATTTTAACACATGATTTGACACTGAATTTTCTGTAAAGTGCCATTAATCAAACAAAGAAAAACGAAACAAACTAAAGAGTGAAACCAAAACAATCAACACTAGCTCACAGCATCTATTTATGACTTTAAACGTGAAATTTTCCACAATATGCTATTATTAATCTGTTTCAACAATAGTATATTATTGAATGAGCAATTTATGCTAGCCATTATTCACGCAGGGTGACGCTGAAGTGACGTAAAGTCACCCGAGTGAATAATGGCTATAAATTGCGAGTTGAATTCTATACTTTGTCAATGGCCATAATAATAATTATGAGGAGTGTTTGAATTTGTATTTTTAATGTTAATCTTACCATTATTGTATTCATGTTTTAGGGGAAAATGTCACTATCTACTTAAAATTTGGCAATTTCAAACGTCAAAATTAACGATAAGAAAAACGTCAATATCATCAGTTGCTATGCATCGAGAGTCGCAGTCATCTCGAACTATTATATTTTCAAATATTTGGGAAGTTTATTATTAGATGTGTTTTACGACATATCTGTATATTAGTACTTTTATCTACCACCTTTAGTAAAATAAATTTGTTGAAAAATGATAGATCGTACCACCAGCAGCTGACTTTTTGTTGTTTTGTGTAACTAAAGTTGGTAATTTGTCTTTTGTTTATCGTTATATATGTATTTGAATTTTATTGATGCTGCTTCAAGTTTTTTTGCAATAAAACATACTTCTACCAACTTTAGTTGAGTACAGTTGTTGGAGACCGATAAATTGGAGTACCAGCATCTGACTTTTTGTTGTTTTGTGTAACTAAAGTTGTTAATTTGTGTTTTATTTAAAGTTATATATATGTATTTGAATTTCATTGATATTATTTCAAGTTCTTTGCATGAAAATATCGTACTAACATTCTTTAGTCAATCAGGAGATTGATTTTTGTTCCGTTATAATGGCAACTATTAATAACACGGATTCGGAAAACGAATTTATGCCTTTAGCAATCCTCCAGTGTAGAAAGTTTTTATAGGCAGACATGTAATTATCTTTGGACTTTTGTGGTAGCAATCCAAGACTTGTTAATTTGGCCGCCTCTGCTATCTCTAGTGGTGTACAGGGCTCATTATCACTCTCATAACTCATTTTTTGATTTTAAACGAGTTCTTCATACGCCACTTAATAATCACTACCTACTTAACACTTGACAATTTTAAACGTCAAAATTAATAAAAAGAAAAACGTCAAATCATCCACGCCGCGCATCGGGATGTTGTAAGTCTCATAATATATCTCTACTATTAATGCATGACAAAGTTTTGCATTCTCCAGCCCATACACCTCCTTCAGCTAAATAATGACAATTACAGAGCCGATAGCTAATTGTCGAAGTGCATTTGGTGTGGTTAAGGTAGCCGCCAATTTGTTAATTAACGAACTTTGCCTACGTCCCCTATGGCCCTTTCCAAGTTGCACCTTTTGATCTGGGTCAGATATCAGCTACACGTGCAGCATATATTACATTTGATATTGAACTTTGCCGATATGGAACT